GCGTTGCAATTGGTACAACTTTTATCTTTATTTTTCTTGAGATAGCATTGCTCTTCCAGATGGCCTCTTTTCCCACAAAAACGGCATCGCTTATCATTAATTTCTTGCTCCTTATCATACCTCCGGCATTCTCTGGCTCTGTGTCCCGGCTCCCCACAAGCATAGCATTTCCTGATCATTGCCGGGGCACGGTTATTCATTGACTTGTTCTCACTTGTATCAATATCAGTAGCCTTTAAATTTGCCAAATACACCAACAAGGAGGGAGTGGTGGTGCACCCTGCTGACACTGCACCTATCTCCATCAGTCTATTTCCCAGCGTCCCGATGATTGCTTCTGTTATTATGTCATCAGACATACCACAAGACATTCCCAATCCAAGCTTCTCATAGTAAAATTTTATAGGATCTTCTTTAGGCATCTTCACCCTGTTCACTAATTCTCTGATTTGAGCCAGCTTATTCTTGGTAAAAGGAAATGCTCTTATCAGTTTTTCTTTCCATTCCTCCCAGGTAATTCCATAAGATGATTGATGTTCATACCAGCCACGGGCATACCCCTTCAATTTTGCTGTACAATTGCAAATTAGAGTTCGTTCATCCCAACCATGCATACGGGCAACACCTTCCAAATTTCTAATCCAATGCTCAACGGGGACACTGGTAGTCTGTGGGTTAAATTCAGGGATAAAGTCATTTTGTCCCACATAGCGAACCGCAGAGTTATCTGGATTAACATTAAAACTGGCATCTACATATTGTGGCCTCATTATTGGAGTGAGCTCGGGGGTGCCACCCCTAATAAAGGTAGAAGAGGCCGGCGCTTGATGAGATCTGCCATCTGCCTTCCTCAGGTCTCGTACGTAATTTTCTAAAGCCTCAATCCGACTGTCCTTTCTCCTGAGCTCTCGCAGGTATTTTATTTCCTGATGATGCATTTCCCCATCTGGACTTGATGGGTCTACTGAGTAATGAGAACGATTCCTTTTCTTGCGATCGCCCATTGTAATTATTTCCTTTACAAACGACACAAATAGCCCCTTCACACACACAGTAATATTTAAACAGATAGATCAATAGATTTATCACAGTAGCATTATAGGAGTGTAATCTGTCGTTGACTATTTCAAAAACAATGTTCATTCAATCCAGAGTCTGAGTTCCAGACAGAAAATAGTAAAAGGAACAAGCTCACCCGGTTGCCAATACAAACGTGCAGTAACACGACCTACAACCACACTCACTTTACCACAACACCACAATACTATACTTTAACAGAGGAAATCACTTAAATGAAATATGAGAGTGATTTAAAAGTTGGTTTGCAACTACGGGAAACGTTTTTATCGCAACACACAATGTTTTCAGAACTTTCGCTGGTAGGTCCCAAACAGGTTCGAACCGGTTTCGCCGTTCGGTTGTTCTTTCACACACTGATATTCACAGTAAAACGTAACGATAACACTTGTACTTTGCAAGCATGAGTTCCACTTCTGAATTCTGTTAATTATTTACTTGAAACAGATCTCTCTTGGAAAAACAATAATATTTTTGCCGGGGAGCGTACACACGACAGCCACATCGAAAACGCGGTAAAACCCAACTGACAGCTCCGAGCTGTCAAGGTGACAGCTCGGACTAGGTGTTATTTGAACGTCATGTCACAAGTTCATGATACAACAAAACACAATAGCCATAGAGGAGAAGAAGAATGTAACTGAAAAGGAGATGTCAGCTAACACTACATAATACATACTTATTATACATAGAAAACACCCAGTCCAATACAAATATGTTCATGCACACAAATGTTTGTACTGTGCGGGAATCGAACCCGCTACCTCCGGAATAGTAGTCCGTTTCGAACCACTACACCAAACGGCCGACAAACTTTTTACACCGAATTTAGTCAAAATGACGAAGATGTTACCGTACCTTATAGTCGTCCAAGCACATCGGGTGATAATTATTCCCATCGTGCCTGACAGAGTTGCGCAGATGCCATTCCTCTTTGTCCTCGTTGTAGAACTGCTGGAAGGCGTCGCCGCACAGCGCGCACGTGCTTTCAGCTGGCGCGCCCGCGGCCACGGACGGCGCCTCGCCAGCCGGCTCCGGCGGCTCCGTCTGCTCCGCGCCGGCTGTCTCGAACCAGCTCTTTTCTGAGGGATGGTGGTTTTTATGAGTTTTATGAGAGTTTTTATGAGGTAGATGATGTACAGTCGCGGAATGAAAAGGTTCGTCACCTTAGTGTCGGTTTTCGGTTGCACTAGGTACTGTAAGAGTCAAACCTGCCAACATAACCGTGCAAGAAACATTGCTGCTAACATTTAAATAAATATGACGTTTGCTAACGAATAATGTTTTGCTTGTTTATTTTTTATCCCATCAGTGCAATGTTAGAAAATGTAGTTTTTTTTAATTAATAGATATTGGCAGGTTGAACCAACAAGGTTTTAGTTTATCAATCATAATAATCTTCTTGACAAGTTAAATCGTCAACTTTCATCTGAATAATTTTGAACTTTACTGACGAACAGTTAAAGATTATTTTCTCTAACTCAAAAAGGGCAGGTAGGGCCCAAAAGATAAGGAGACATGTAAAGTGCCCCATAAGGGCTACCTTTTCTTTTTTTATTATTTACTATATTTTGACGTTCATAAGTGCCACTAGTAGTCTAAACTGAATAAATATTTTTGATTTTGATTTTAAGAGACTTTAATTCCACTTTGGTTAGGCAATAAGCACTTCGTATTTTGGAAGACATGCTAGTTCATAGATCATTGGTTCAATGATCCATGTTGGATGCTCATAAAGCTCGGATTGTCACTTGTTACATAGTTACGACAAAAAAAAGATATGGAAAGTTACATTTAATTTAAAAAGGGGCCCTTGGTTATTGGAATTGTTTTTTATTTTTTGCATTTTTAATGTAGTATACCTCTTGTAGGCATCTTTGCAAGTAGTATACCTCTTATAGTAGATCGCACTTGTGCACTTTGAATGAAGACGGCGATCTTGGATATTTTGACATGGCGGGCATGTATTAGTTTAGTAGGTCCTACAAATGACAGAGTACTGACCTCTCTCCTCCAAATCCTCGACCTCCTCGTACTGCAGCCAGTCGGACAGGTCGTAGTGCCAGTGCCGCGAGTGGGCACGGCGCGCCGAGTCCCGGTCGCGGCGGTTCTGGCGGAAGTGCCAGTCCAGGTGCTGTGAGTAGCGCACAGTGTGCTCGGGCGGGAAGCGCGCGCCGCAGCCGGAGCATTGCATGCCTCCGTACAGCCGGCTCACCAGGCCTGGTTGTTTGCTGCTGGGGAATTATACGCATATTAAATTTTCTGACGAGATACATTTTTAAAATAACTTGAAGAAATCGTACTGCCCAACGGCCGGTTCACACATGTCTCCGTTTTACTGTTCCGTTTTATCGTGTACAAACGTCTTTTTTTCGTCGGTGTATGTATTACTGTATACAGAATACTGTGTCATGTGTGAAGTCGCTCATATAACTACATACGCCATCGACGAAAAAAAACGTACACGATAAAACGGAACAGTAAAACGGAGACACGTGTGAACCGGCCGTAAGGTAAGGGAGGGAATCTAATGTNAAACGTCTTTTTTTCGTCGGTGTATGTATTACTGTATACAGAATACTGTGTCATGTGTGAAGTCGCTCATATAACTACATACGCCATCGACGAAAAAAAACGTACACGATAAAACGGAACAGTAAAACGGAGACACGTGTGAACCGGCCGTAAGGTAAGGGAGGGAATCTAATGTTTTTTTTTTTTTTTCAAATTATTTCCAGTATTCAATATTAATTTAAGTATTTCAAAAATCACTGTTATTTTGTGCTAAGATGTGCTAATCGAAAGAAGTTGCTTAGAAGTCGAAGTCGAAGTAAGTGACTTAGAAAAATTGGCGGCCAATCGCTAGTTCCTGAGAAAAAGTTGAGGTTTAAAAGTTACTCCTTTTGCTTATAAATTGTTTGACTTGAAGGTGAGGGCTAAAATGAAGAGCGATTTACTCAATACTACTAATATAAAACTGAATAAAAGTTTAAGTACAAAGAAAGATCAATTACCTAACTTTACAGCAAGTGTCAAAGTTTCCTATACAATAAGGCAAAAGTCAAGGTCCAAAATACTTACACTCTCAGCGTCTCAGGTTTGAGCAAGTCCACTCTATGAATGACGCTCTTATCCTCTTTCGGCTTCGGCTTCTCCTCGGGCTTCTGCTCCAGTTTCGGCTCGTCTTTCGTCTCTTTCGGCACTTGGACGATGCCGGTGGCCAGTAGCTTCGCGAAGAGGTCGTTGACGTTGATGTTTCCTAACACCGGTACCAGAGGGTTGGGTTTTTCGTCCGCGGGGGTTTCTAATCCGGGGATCTTGTCTGGTTTGGTGAAGAGCGGTTCTGCACAACTGTATTCTGAGGCAGAAGTGGGTGCAGAGCTAAAGCTTGAGGGCATTACGCTCGCTAGCATGTCTAGACCTGCGACAAAAGAGTTGTTTGTAAAGTCGATGTTGTTTTTGTATGATAAATTACAATTTGTACTGAAATATTTTTTTCAAAGCATATTAGTACTAAATGAATCTAGATACAAGATTAAACTATAGACAATGGGGATGTTTCCTGGGTAAAAAAGCAAGTTTTAATTAGTCCGTCAGTTAGCTTAACAAAAACTACTCGACACGTATTTTTCACTTTTGAAAACTAATGAAAATGTAAAGAGATAAAGCGTGCCAAAGTTCTAAAGAAAAGGCCCGTGACGTCAGAGAGTCCGTAAAAGTGCAGCACTTTATGACGTCGCGCGGAACTTCAATGCACTATAACTTTGTAATTATTTGTTTGATTGACAATTAAAAATATATGTGTCCAATATTTATTTAATTTAAATTGACGGACTAAAAATTTTTTAGGAAACTAGCCTATTCAAATACTGTATCTACTTCGATATATGACACTATAATAAACAAACGTAAAGGATAATCACCTTGATTCTCCGGGTTGATATCTGGGCTGGGCGATTTCTTCGGGGGCAGGACTGTCTCCGCGTCCATTTCCAGCGGAGGCGCCGGCAGGTCGGGCGCGGGTAACGGCGGCGCCGGCCCGGGAGCCGCGCCCGCCATGCCTTCGATGCGCACGAGCCCCGGCCGCACGCCGCGCGGCAGCGCCGAGAAGCGGATGAAGTACTTCTCGCCTCCCAAGTGAACGGCCTTAGGTAAGTCCCCGAACTCCACGCGGAACGGCCGCTCGTTGATTAATACTGTGCGCAGCGCGTCCGCGAACCGCAGCGTGAACCGCTGGCCGGCCGCGTGGAACTCCTGCACGCGCGCGTCCAGGTACACCGGGCACACGTGCACCGCGTTGACGATCACGTTGATTTTTCCCACCACGAGGTCCGTCCGCCGCGCCTTGCCCACGTCCACCTGCGGCGCCGGACCCTCCAGCGCCAGCCGCCGCGCGCGTCCGCCCACCAGCACGCCCGCCGGCTGCCCGCCGAAGAACACCTCGAACCAGCGCCCATCAATATACAGCTCCCGCGTCGGCGCGCCGAGCCGAATATCGAACGCCTGGTCGTCCACCTCCACGCGCCGGTACGGCTCGTTGAAGCCGAGCACCACCGAGTCCTTGTTGTCGAACGTGACGCGGCGCCGGCCCGGCAGGAAGCGGATCTCGCGCGGGTCGTCCCAGTCCATCATGATGACGGCGGTCTCGCCGTAGAAGCGGATCTCGCGCGGCACGCCGTCGATCTGGATCGTTTTCACGGGGTCGCGGTCGATGAACTCGAGCACGCGCGGGTCCGGCGGCGGGATCTCGGCGGCGCCGACGCCGAGCGGCGGAGGCGAGACGGTTCTCTCGTAGGGCGGCAGCGGGCATTCGCCTTGGCACATGCCGGGCATGGGAGCGGGCGGCGGCGGCGGGCGCGGCTCGTAGGGCGGCCAGGGCGCGCGGAAGTAGGGCGGGCGAAAGCGGCGCGGGCCGAAGTCGGCGGCGGGACGCGGCACGTACTCGTCGACGCGGGCCCGGGGCGCGCGCCAGGCGGGCCGGTAGACGAAGGCGGGCGGACGCGGCAGCAGCGGGCGGCGCAGGTCGAGGTCCCGCGCGGGCGGGCCGGGCGGCGGCGGCGGGCCGGGCCCGGGCGTGACGCGCTCGTCGATATCCCCGTAGTTGTTGGGCCCGTGCGCGGCCTGCAGCTTGCGCTTGGAGATCTCGAGCGACTCGCGCTGCTTGGCCTCCTTGAGCTTGAGCTTCTCGTTGAGCTGCAGCACCTGGTACATGAGCGTGTTGTACTGGCTCTTGTCGAGCTGGCCGTCGTGGAACTGCTCCTTGGCCTGGCTCATGATGATCGAGATGGACTTCTTGTGGTCCTCGGCGTCGAACTCCTCGGGGTGCTCCGGCCGGAGGTCCGTGTCCTCGGAGCTGAGCGTGCGCCGCCTTTCCCTTTCGATACCTAAAGCAACGAACGCTACGTTAAAACACGATGACGTCTATGCGGCGTGAGATAAATGAACTGAGGACTTTACTTCAGACTGCTAATGATGGCGGTGATCGAATTACTTACGTCGCCTACTGACACGTTGCGGTACAGAATACAGATACACAACTAAATTACTGGTACTGTCTTATGCAGCTAGATGCAAATAAGAAGGGCACACTTACTTGGCGATTTGCTGAACAGCAGCGGTCGGCCGAGTCGATCCGTTCCTTTTGTGGCTTCGGCGAGCTTCGCCCGGACTAGGTCGAGCTTGGACGGGGTCTTTTTGGTCTCATCGGTCTTCTCCTTGACTTCGTGCCAGTCTTTCTTGGGCGAGCCGGGCGGGGAGGGGACCTTGTCCTCCTCCATTTTGTCATCCTCCTTGGGGGAGGCCGGGGTGAGGGTGGGAGGGGGAGGGGCGGTCACCTCTTCCACTTGAGGTAGCTGCCGGAGATCGACGTCCTCGTTGCCGAATAAGCTAAAAAATCGTTACCTTTATTATGTCAATTCGAAAGGGAATACGAGAAACTACTTTCTTCTGTCTAAAGCGTTTATTCCTTTTGACAGTTGCTTCAAAGGAAATAATGGTACTTTATCTTCACATTATAAGGGAACTAATAGGAGGAAAATGTTCAGGTTTATCCCTTTCTAAAATGACAGGTTAGTGCACGTAACATTGGCTACCTTTTTACAACAGGGAAATCGTGATTGATTTAAAATAAAAAACAAGTTTTATTCTCCGAAAAATAACAAGTAAAAGTGCTTTTTTAAAGCCTACTTACAGAAATAAATGAGTTTTACTGAGTTTTTTAGAGTTTTAACCAATGTTTCGCGCACTATGACGTCGCCAATTTAAAAAGGGACAGTAGTTCCTTCGAAATGCTGAAAGTGCCATTAGTTCCTCTGAAGGAACTATTAGGAATAACCGTCAAAAGAAAGCAAGAACGAGTAAATATTTCAAGTAAGCCACAAATAAGCTGAGCATACTTACACATCGAACTTATCAAGCTTGGTCTTCTTGGTCTTTCCATCCAGGAGTTCAGTGGACGGCCTTTTCTGCGCGACGGGCGCGGCCTTGGCATCGACCGCGGGCAGCACACGAAGATCCACGTCCTTGGTTTCCGCCACCACTTCTGGCACATCTGCAAATACGACTTTATTTTTATGCAGCCTTAAGCCTAATTTGGAGTAGGAGAGCGATGGATCCAGATGACTTTCGAAGTTTCGATGCTACGTTGATTTCTATGCTGACATCCATTAAGGTTCAGAAGTCCTTCTATGTCAATAGATAGTTCAGTGAATATTTCCATATTAAAATGACTGTCAATCTCCATTCAAGCTTTTAAATTTTAAACCAGTTACATTCATACTTCGCCAGCCAAATCACTATCTAACAAACAAGTAAAATAAAAATTCCTGATTCTTCTCTTCTTTCCTGATTTCTCAATATTGTATCACAAGTGATATATTGCATCACTATAACGTTTAATTACCTATGCAAGACTTGAACAGTGTATCATATATCTGACTGAATAAATTCGCAAAATCTATTCAATTCCACCACCCACATATTATATCAAAGAAAAGGTCTATTCCTAAGTGGTACCAGACAGTGGTACTAACTGTCTGGCACAGAGTGACATTATTTGTAAATACATAAAGATGACTTAGTTCTGCTCGGTACGACTGTACTTCATGAATGTACATTTATATTTCGTCCTAGCTAACAGAATAACCACAATGTTGGATCCATCTTCGAGGTACTATCGTTTCGTAAAACGTGAAGGAGTGCATCGAAACACTTACCAACACTTGATGTCAGATGGTAGGCACATAACTTTACACATAACTTACTTTGTAACTTCTGTTTTCCTTTATACTTTGACACTTTTTAGTACGCAGCGAGAAATGTTTTTTAGTTTTGCATTATCCGATTTGCAGTTTGTCAAAATGTATTTGAATTGCAGAAAAAAAATGATTTTTTTAATTCAACTTTTTAAAGCTACAGAATATAAGTTGTGAATTTAATGAGTTAGATTGTTAGAACGATCCACTCCCGTGTTAATAGTTTATTGTATTTTGCAACAACTCATTGAAAGTATTCTTATTATTAAAATTAGTTAAGTACACGATAGATCAAACATCTTAGGATCGAAAGAATTCGCATTTATTTTAAAATTCGCATATAATTCTAAAGTATACTAATTATGAACGATATTCAAAAAAGGTTTGTTTTTCAACGGTCTCTTTCCCGTATAGCGAGATGCCTTCATGCACGAATACGAAGGACAAAAGTTTCAAAAAAGAAAAGCTTGTGCTTTTCTTTTTACTACTAATACTAATACTTGTGTATTAAAATTATTCCAGTTAATTTCGTGGACCGTGCAAAGATTTATCAATGGACAGTAGCGACTATTAATTCATAAGTGTAGAAGACAACGTTTTTATGTTTGATATATCTGAGAAATTCCGTTTAGCGTATCATTAGTTAGAAACAGTATTAACAAAAACAAAAATTTTATAAAGCGCCATAAACTATGCATTTTGTTGCCGACCGAATACAAGAGAAAGAAACGCTCTACGAAAATGAATTCGAAGAACGTTGTATCTTTCCGTATACCTTCTTCATCAATAATTCTAATTAGTGTAGAACCCCATTAATTTGTCAGTCACATAGTTAACAGTAAAGGTATTGTTATGATAAAATCTACATAATATGTTTTATGACGAATATTGTGTACCTATCGTTATTAATAATATCATTAAAATATATTACATAATACGAAACTAACGTAGTAAAACATTAATAAAATAGTAACATAGCACTTTTTTGGACTAAAAACATTTTATTTAGAATAACATCTTATACGAACAGTACTTTAGTCTTAAGCAGTTTTAAAATTAAGTTAACTGGAGAGATTATAAGATTGAAACTTTTTATAAATGTAGGAATACCAAATATCTAGTACTGCTAAATAAAAATAACCTAAGTACTCGAATTAAAAAAAACTATTCTACATGAATGAATTTATTTTAACGTGTTTTTAATTTATTTAAGAATTACCATCTAATAATTACCCGAAGGAAAAATATTTACCATCATAACCGTTAGGTATATGTATACCATAATCTACATAAGATACAAATGTGCAACAAGAGAATTGAAACTTTTTCTTTCAACTAATTTCGAATTCGCCATCTATTTACGTAATTATGAACAAAATATTTATCCGTTAAGTTAATTGTATTTCAATATTACTTAGTTTATAACTTACACCTCCGAAACTTCCACCAGCTTCATCCAAGTCCCTGCCTCCAGAGGTGATGGGACACTTGACGCGCACCTTCCAACGCAAAGCCATGCCGGCACAATATGTAGTCTTTTCGCTCTTCACAGTTAATAAGTTGTTCACTTTACAATTAAACGCTTTCGGTTTTAACATCAACGAGTTGTTGCAAAAAACTGAGATCACGGGTTAAACCAAGAAACATTAAAATTGGTGAGTAGTGCAAACGTGGTGAGTCAAAACCTGACAGTGTACAGTGCAGCAAACTGCAAATCCAAACCGAAAATTCAAGCCCACACCGAATGATTCGCGGGACGACAGAACCGGGGGAGTCTTAACGCTAGGGGGTCACGCCGAATATAACACTCCAGAGAGTTGGTAAACTTTTTATTTCCACACAAGTGTCGGTCAACGCTCGCCGCTTACAGACTAGGGGCACAGGGGGGGACCGCGGTCCGGGATCATAGAGAGGGGGCTTACTTGTCGCGGGCGCGGGCTCGGCGGCGGGCTCCGGGCTCTCCGACTTCTGCTTGTTGCGGCGCATGAAGCGCTCCTTGTGCGAGATGCGGCGCTCGTTGAACGTCACCAGCGCCGGCTCCGGCGCCGCTTCGGGTTCCGCGCGCCGGCGCCGCCGCTCCTTGTCCTTGGGTTCCTTGGCGCGCGCCTTCTTGTCCGGCGACGACGACGAGCCCGAGTCCTTGGAGGCGTCGGCCTCGCGGCGCCGGCGCCGGTCCTCGCGCGCCTCCTTGCGACGCTTCGCCTGCTCGTCGGCCGGCTCCGGCTCCCGGCGCAGCTTTGGGATCGGCGGGAGCCGGCTGATCCTTTTGGCGTCGGAGTCGGGCGCGGGGTCGACGGCTGGCGCGGGATCGGGTCGCGGTCGCGCGCGGCGGCGGTCCAGGCGCGGGTCGCGGCGGGCCAGACGCGGGTCGGCGGTCGGGTCGATGTCGATGGTGAGCACGTTCTTGCGCTTGGCGTGGTCGAGCGGCTTGATGTCGAACACGTGGGGCGCGATGGGCGGCGAGGCGGGCGCGCGGGGCGGGGCGCGCGCGAGGCGAGGGTCGCGGCGCGCGGCGGCCAGCGCGGCGCTAACGGGCGCGATGCGACCGCCCGCCGGTTTGTTCACGGGCTGCGGACAAACGCACGGTTGATGCTTCCGTTGAGAACGCGAGTGGCGTCGCCGACGACGAGACGCTCTCGAATTCTTAATGAATGTAAATGAAAATCGTGGCATTTTTAGACGTGGCCCGATAGCAAATTGGGAACTCGTGGCCATAGTTTTGTCTACAGGGAGTTAATAAATATTATTTACTAGCTGACCCGTCGAACTCTGTTCCGCCTTAAAGGCAGTAAATAAGCAAATTTTGACCGTTTAGACCTACCCTGGACTACAACAAACATTTTAAAATCAAAATCAGCTCAATCGGCCCAGCCGTTCTCGAGTTTTAATCAGACTAACGAACAGCTATTCATTTTTATTTATATAGATTTAATGAAATTCACGTCAACATCATCTCGCTTCCGAGTTGATGGCGATTCAAAAAATACTCAACGATACAAAACACAAGAGAACAGTGGCTGGATTCCAATTTGCTGTGGGTACCTCCTCCATTATACCAAAACGACTTACCGGTCCCAGCCTCATCTTGGCGGGCACGTTATTGAGCCCGGGCACGTTATTGAGCCCGGGCCCGTCCGGGACCGCCACGGGGGCCACCACCGGGTTGACCATGGCCACAGGCATGGCGGGCATGATCGAGTTCGGCGGGATTATCGTGGTCACCTGTAACAAGCGGAGAACGGCGTCAGCCTGCGTCTATGTACAGTCGCGGAATGAAAAGGTTCGTCACCTTAGTGTCGGTTTTCGCTTGCACTAGGTACTGTAAGAGTCAAACCTGCCAACATAACCGTGCAAGAAACAGTGCTGCTAACATTTAAATAAATATGACGTTTGCTAACGAATAAGGTTTTGCTTGTTTATTTTTCTATCCCATCAGTGCAATGTTACAAAATGTAGTTTTTTTTTTTAAATAGATAATGGCAGGTTGAACCAACAAGATGGTTTTAGTTTGTCAATCATAATAATCTTCTTGACAAGTTAAATCGTCAAACAACTTTGATCTGAATAATTTTGAACTTTACTGACGAACAGTTAAAGATTATTTTCTCTAACTCGAGATTATTCTGTAACATAGTTTCAAAATTTAATATGTGCTCGCGATTTGTTGAAGGAATCAATTTGAAAACTGACGAACCTTTTCATTCCGTGACTGTACCTTCACCAGCGGTTCCCGCGACTTTGTACGCATAGACCCCGTTTTAGCTCCTTATTCAGTTTAGACCATAAGTGGCACTTATGACCTAAGTGCCACTTATGGTCTAAACTGAATAAATATTTTTGATTTTGATTTTATTTAATTTTAAGGGTGTAGTTTCGTAAAATCCGTTCTTAGCGGATGTCAACACCCTAGGAACTTATCTGCCAAATTTCAAGATTGTAGGTATCATTGTTTCTGAGATTTCGTGATTAACCATATTAATAGATACTAGGCCCCCTTACTAATAAAACTTGTACACGCTCGTTGAACAGTGTTTTAAAGTGACGTTTAGTATGGAAATGTCATTTTAAAACAGTGTTCAACAACTGTGTAACTTTTAATTAGTAAGAGGGTAGGACTCTTGGAGGGCCAAACGTGAAGGTTTCAAGCCTTGTTGTGTATTTTAAGTGCCTTGGTCAGTTGGAAACTCTCAAACCCCGCCGATATGACCCAGTTACATAATTTTGCAGTTGTTTCTTTATTTTCATATTTAATGTAATCCATAATTCGATGCCTAATTCAGCAATCTTTGCAGCTAATTTTAGTTCTTTCTTTATGGTGATGTTTTGTACCTGGTCGAATGACGCACTAATAATAACCAAAATCATTGAAAGGATTAGCACACAGAAAATACTTTAAAGTCAGAAAAATGTTATGCGATATCATTGTAGTACAAAACTTCATAAGTTTTTCTGTAACAGCACAAGTTGGAGACGAGAAATATGATAACAGATGGAACTGGATAGAACGACGCATACTACACTTTCAATACGAATATTTTATAAAGAATCAATTAAAAACATCCAATAATAAAAAATCTCACTAACTAATTTTGAAGTTTTTACAGACTTGTGTGTACAACCCTACGATAGCGAGGTGTGCATGGGAAAATGAAAGCTATGTTACAGGCAATTCTGAACTTATTTCGGCGACTGATGTTGGGATTGATTGGGATTTGAGATCTAAAAATCTGATGACTACATGTATACATAATTTTTCTGGTTTAATGTGCAAGGTGCAAAAATATATTGCGAAAAAATATATTTGGATTTGGAAGTATAGCCCGACCAGGAACATAAAAACCCTCGCCATGTTGCGGGCGTGCATGATGCCAGGGTTTTTATGTTTCTGGTCGGGCTATAACACAATTTACTGCTCAATTTAGATGCATTTGGGTAAAGAGATACAATGGACTTTGGAGAAAGATATAGGCTACTATTTATAGCGAAAATAAACTTGAAACGGGTAAATTAAGTGATGAAAGATTGTATGGGGAATCAAGATATAAGACATAAAACTATACTTTCGATTAAAAATTAAGATTTTTGATCGACGGACGCACACGCATTTTCCACTCTGTGACAAATCGAATTTTCCTTATAACTCTTATAGGTAGTTACCAATAAAATAACCAAGAAATAATTTTTAGAGATAAAATCTTAAACAAAGGGTTAAATCTAAGTAGAAATTAATACATAGTTTTCTAATTCATATACAAGAAAAATTACAATTAGATTGAGAAATAAATTATTACTTATTATATTATTTTATTTATTTACTTACGCAGTAAGGACGACGGTACGACGTCCAACAAAGCATCTTTAATGTTTTATGTCACACAACACAAACTAACAATATCTTTGCACTCAACTCGAGATGGGTAATACACACTAAAGTGGTCTACCACGCTTCGCGACCGAGACGATACTGACTAAGCGCTTCGTGTGCGCATCCCACATAGCGTGCTAGGTTGTGGTGGGGGTAAACCTTTCGGGTGTTTTTTTACCTGTGTTTATGAACGAAACCATGTGGTAATTATGAACGCTAATACCTGTAATGAGTCCTTATCTAATGGCATTGTTATTCGTAGAAAGGGTTGCTAAATACCTACTTAGTAATGATTTCTTTTAAGTGTAATTCCTAATCCACTGTTTTTCTAATTCGGAAAGTTTGGGTAGTAAAAAGAGAAGTTTGAATAGAATCTGATAAGAATAAACCACTGAAATATGAAATATCAAGATAGATAGATACTTACTCAAATAAGGAAATGTGAAACATAGCTATTGTAACAGCCGGGAGTTCGGGACCCGTTAGCCATTTTGATCTAGTCTGAATGTTCAATGAAAGAATCGTATGAATTGTCAAAATTGAACGAGTTTGGTAAAGGGCTAAAGGCCAAGATAAGCGCACATTGATACATTAATCACTACAGCTATATTATAAAATAAAGTAGTTTTCCTGTCTGTCCCTGTATTGCTTATATCTTTAAAACTACGCAACGGATTTTGATGCGGTTTTTTTAATAGATAGAGTGATTCAAGAGGAAGATTTTTAAGTATAATAATACATGTACCTGTGCGAAGCAGCGGCGTGTCGCTAGTTAAAGATAAAAGGCAGTCTTTTGTATCATGATTTACGCTCCACAATCCACAATAAAGATTTATGATCATGATCAAAGTATACTTAAACTATATTTATTAATATTCTCAAAATTATAATACCACGAGGCGAGGACAGAAGAAGAATGTAAAAGGTAATAAGCACCTACTTAAGGTTTACTATTGAACAATGACAATTGACAATCTATTCAAGCAGTTAAAATATACTAATCTAGTGCAATAAAAATGCCGACAACTGAGAGACAATTAAAACAACACCTGCATATTTTTACAATGGTTTATTGTCCTTTATTACAAAAACAACCTTTCTTTTTATGGTATGTTTAAAAAGGATTGATGTTTGCCGAAAACCTAAAGAAATAATTGTTAAACAGTTTTTAACTACAGAACTACTGAATGTATCTGTCTTTAGAACTATATTAGTAACTCATGTGGTATTTTGAATAGGTCGTCTGCCACCTATCACATAAAAAAGGTTGGCATATTAAGAGATCAAACTGAAGAGTTTGTTTGTTTGTTTGTTTACTTGAACGCACTAATCCCCGGAACTACTGGTCCGATTTGAAAAATTCTTTCAGTGTTAGATAGCCCATTTATCGAGGAAGGCTATAGGCTATACAACATCACGCTACGATCAATAGGAGCAGAGCAATAATGAAAAATTTTGCGAAAACGGGTTTTCACGCGTACGAAGTAGCGGGCACAGCTAGTAAATTCATAAAGTTTATCAGGGAATCATTGAACAACAGCCCTTTAAAGCGTACTGCTGGCCTAGGAGCCTGGATGCCATAATCTACGCGCTTGGCAGGCGGGTTGGAGATCGTAGTTTAAAAATTAAAAGATTAACGTTTATCAAAGAGCGCTGCTACCCGTTCTCTGTCGTCACCACACGGCTTAATAAACGCCCGTATTTACAAGCGATGCATGCTTGAGTGAAGCTGCAAATCGAACGCACAGCGTTGAATAGAGCTCTGTGGTTGGTTCGTGTGTCACCCTATGCGTACACGCGCACTGTGAGACCTCATAGTAACGTTTGTGAATACCCGTATTCAATAGGTAAGGGAATCATTGTTACTTTATAATAGTTTCAACTGTCGATTTGACGATTTTAAAAGTTAAATGGTATTCTCAAAATATTAAAATACCACATGAGCTCTTGTGAAACTTAAAAAACGGATAACATTCAGTAGATGTGTCAAGTTTTTCGAAATCATAAATCCTTTTTAAACGTGTGCACTGGATACGGAGAGAAAAATACCACAAGAACCCTTTTCTTGTGGTATTCGTTTTAGTAATGAAGGACAATAACCCATTGTAAAATAAAACATGCAGGTGAAGACTGTTTGTTTCATTTGTCTCTTACTTGGTAGTTGGCAAGTTTGTATTGCAACAGATTGGTATTTAACTACCGAGTAATATTTACAGCTCTCATTTATGTCATTTTTAAAGTTATCGCTATCTATTTATCGCCCTACAATCCAGTCTAATTAACTGCGCACCTGGCTGCCGTGACCAGTGTTGCCAACTTAGCTACTTTATAGCTAGATTTAGCAACTTTTTGATGTCAGGCAGCTACAATTTTTTTTAACTTGTAGCTACTTTTTCTAGCAACTATTGATTATGATATATTTTTACAAAGTTATGGTAACGGCATAACCGACAAACAAAATTTGTATTAGCAATATACGATACGACTCACTTAAATCGGTGCGGAATAACTTTGGTGATTCGTTTGAGTGATTTTGGCCTGTGGGTGGGGATTCCCCTAAACTAATATGACAAAATGGGTACTATGGAAAAAGATTCCAAATCATGTGCAGCTGAACCTTCTACATCTTCTCGTACATAATTATAATATTCGGAAGATAATCAAAATACTGTCTTATTTTATTTGTTATCAAGTAGTCACAGTATTAAAGTTAAATTGATTAAAGTTATGATTTTTTATTATTGATAGCTGATTTATCAACTGCAGTGTTTTATTTCTTTAGTATTTTATTTACTTCGGAATTCAGCTACTTCTAGCTACTTTTTAGAGAGAAAAAAATACCCAATCTAGCAACTTT